AGAGAGAGAGAGAACATACAGTATCTATTGTTAAAAATCTATGCTGTTAGCCTAGCTACGTAGTGTTTTCAGGGGGATTGTTGGTTGTTAATTTATTGTGGCCCGCTTGTTTTGTTTTTCAGTCAGAGTCTCTAGCCCAGGCTGACTTCAAACTCCCGATGTAGGATGATAGGAATGTGCCGCCATGCCAGGTTTATGCAGTTCTAGGGATCGAACCCAGGGCTTCCATGCGTGTTAGCAAGCAACTCACTGAGCTGTACTTCCACCCTGGGAAATAGTCCTTTTAATCTTTGAAAAGATGTAATCGAAAAGTTTCTTCTTCTTAGATCACTCATTTAGTTTTTTTTTTTTTAAATTCATTTTGTGTATCTGGGTGTCTTGCCTGTGTGTGTGCCTGTGTACCACGTGTGTGGCAGGCACCAGCAGAGGCCAGGAAAGAGTGTCAGATCTTCCTAAACTGGAGTCACAGGCAGCTGTGCGTCGCCGTGTGGATTTGGACATTAAACCAGGGTCCTTTGGAACCTCTGTGCCATCTCTGCAAGCCCACTCATGCGCTTAGTCATATAAATATTCTAATTGCCTAAACCACTAGTCGCTAGCTAGACTCCAGGATCAAAACCCAAAAACCACCCCTAAGAATTTTGGAGTCCTGAGCTGGTCGTGATGGATCAGTGGGTAAAGGAACTTGCAGGAGATCCTACTATGACATGAGTTTGATTCCTGGAACTCTTCTGGTGGAAAGAAACAACTACCTAATCCCACAGGCTGGCTTCTGACCTCCACAGGTTTTCTATGAGGCATGCACACCCACAAATACACTCACAGTAAAGAAATGTTGTAAAAACTTTTAAAGGCAAAACTTGGATGCAGGGCATTGTCAATGGACCGGAAAACCCATGTAAAAGTGCAAAGAGAACCAGCCCAACACAGTTGTTGGTGAGTCCCAAGCACCAGCATGACATGTATGCTTCTATGTACACATATCTCTCACACACACATACACACACACACACACACACACACACACACACACACACACAAATAATAATACATATCAATTTTTAAAAGACAAAAATTTTTAAAAGACAGAGGAAAATATAGAACTAAATTCAAATGAAATAGAATTTAGAGGAGAAAGTGACGAATTGAAAGAAACCAACTTTATGAACTTTAAAGAGTAGCTAGGATTTAGGAGAAAGCGGGAGACATTCCAGGTGAAGAAACAAAAGACTCAGACAGGGCGTACCATTTGGGCACGGGACTTTGGTAGTGGAAGCTTACTGCCCCGTGGGACTGGAAAACGGGAAGGCATGGATTGTGATGCTGGTAACTTGCAGGAATAAAGGGAATGAGCATCGTGAGCCGGAGGGCAGGCTGGGAATGGAGGAAATAATGAGGATCTGTGCAGTCTGCAGGGAGCGAGGTTGAGCTTCATGCCTGTGAAAGGTTACGGTTGAAAATATGCATTTGGGAATTGTGGTATTCGCTGATGGCAGAAGCCCAAAAGGCGGGTAAGAAGGAGTTGCTCTGGAGAATACTTAATGGGCAGATGGAGAAGGAGGTGACTGTGAAGGCTTCCAAGAACAAGCAGCCTGAGAAAGAGATAGAAAGAGATGGCCTGAAAGCCAAGAGCTTGAACCTTATAACATTAGCTGTTAAGATCTCCTGGGGTATTAGGTGAGAGACGGGAGGCTTCCTGGAGACTATTGGCCAGCCAGTCTACCCAACTGGCAAGTTCTAGCTAGGTTCAGCTAGAGACCCTTTCTCATTGGTGAATGACGTGGACCTCTGGCCTACACACACACACACACACACACACACACGGAGAGAGGGGGGGGGAGAGAGAGAGAGAGAGAGAGAGAGAGAGAGGAGAGAGAGAGAGGCTTGCACATGTGTGCACTGCAATCCTGGAGAATTTGGGTTGCAAAACCATCACAAGGCTGAAGAGCTAATAGGTCATTGGTTACCTTAGTGAGAGAATTTTCCATAAAAGATGTTGGCAAAGTGATATTAGCATGGTTTTGCAAGTGAGTAGATGGTAGCTATTAGGAAGGATGACTAAAAGAACTTTATCCCCCCATTTTCTTTACTAATTTTTGTCATTGAATGAGAGGCAGCAATAGTCCAAAGAGGGTTGAAACCGTCCAACAATATTCAGGAACTTTCTGGCACTTACTGAGTTCCTATCATATGCCAAGCGCTTTATAGATCTGAGATGAGCCGCAGAGGCTGGCTACATCCTATGGAGGGCATGGGAAAGCAAGCAGAGGAGTGTAGTGCAGTGTAACATCTGTCTGTAAGTGACGGAGAGGGAGATTGCTGGGGTAGACGATAACACCGGGCAGCCAAGTCCAGTGCTTTCTGGGGTTAGTGCTGCTTGAGCTGAGGCCTGAGGATGTTGGTGGGGGTGGGGAGCCGTTTCTAGCTTGTTCTCCTGAGTGGAGCCTCAGAGGAAGAGGTCCTGTGCGGCAGAGGGAACTGAAATTAGTTGTCTGTCTGCAACTCAGAGTCCTGCTTGGAAACGGGTGTCACGGAGAGTCGTTGGTGTTTTAAACCGGAGGAGTGATGTATTCAGGTTTGCATTTCATAAAGATCTCCAGCTGTAGTAACACCGGGAAACAGCGCACAGTCTGACTGTGAGACACCTGGTATGGGTCAGGAGGAAGGCAGGAAATGGCCCTGAACTCCAGTGTTTCGGAGAGGAAGGCTCAATGAAAGGATTCCGTACAGAGAGAGGCGGGAGAGGTGGGGAGAAATAACCCTGATATCTCTCACCTTCCCACTTCGGATCTGCAGGTTCTTCCCACGATCACAAGTCAGCCCAAGCCAGAGAGCAAAGGAGGAGGAAAAAGGCAGTTTGGAGGAGACAGCCGTTGTGCGGCATGCAGGGCTGGGAACAGATCCAAGTAAGAGGCCCGAAAGCTGTAAGCACACAGGCAGTCCAGCCAGCATCCCCTTCTGGAATCCAAAGCAATGCCAAATATTTTGAGAAAGAAAAGTCTTTCTTTCAGCAGTTTGGTCCTTCTGAAGTCCTTGGAAGGGATTGAGGACCGGAAATCTGCAGGATACTGAATTCCAAGTCATATCACCTGCTTGGTCTCCTCCATCTTCTGTCCTTGGAAAGTGTGCATTTCCCAGTCTCCTTGTAGGCAGATATAGCTATGTGCCTTCTTCTAGCCTAGTGGTTCTCAGCCTTCCTAATGCTGAGACGCTTTAATATAGTTCCTCATGTTGTGGTGGCCCCCAATCATAATATTTTTTGCATCTACTTCATTACTATAATTTTGCTACTCTTATGAATCATAATGTAAATATTTTTGGAGATATAGGTTTGCCAGAGGGGTCATGGCCCATGGACTGAGAAGCACTGTTCTAGCCATTACTGACTGAGAAGCAACACGCCACTTCCAGGAGGAGACGAAGCAAGACTTTGAGCAGTTTTCTGGACCATCTTTCCCCTGCCTCACCAATTATAGAGAGTATGGGGAAGACTTGACTTCAGATGGGATGACCGCGAGATCAAAGGAGCTCTGGTCTCTGTAGAACGAAGAGCAACTGCCCACATCTACAGTCAACATGCTGGTCTGAGGAAGCAACTTGTATCAGGCCAGGGAGATTTGGAGACTGTGTTATAACAGCACCAGGCAGGTTGATTCTGACTAGAGTGCTGACGTGGAGCTGATGAGAGGATGCTGCGACTAACTCTCCCATCCCGAGGCCCTTAAGAGGCATCTAGATATCATATTCATGTCGTCATAACTTGCTTGCAAATGGCCCCAAATGCCAGGAGATAGCCTGTGTTTACTCACACCTGTCTTTATCTTAAGTACATCTCTTTAGCAGACATTATTTGAACCTATCGTCAGATTGCCAAGGTAACCTCAGGGGTGTAATTTTTTTTAACTTTTCTGACTCTTCAAAGAGTATGGTAGAATGCAAGGTAACACGCATAAGTTTCTCAGCGCCATCGTGCGAGTTCCGCGAAGTTTGCTGGTGATCTTTGAATCTTTGGTGTAAAGTTTGGCATATCTGATACTACTAGGTAGTCAATAAGTGTTTCTTGGAATGACTTGGACTAAGCTGTTTTTCACCTTAGGCAAACATGGCTGAGCTACAGGACACATTCAAAGATGATTTGTTGCCAAAGGTTTGACAGTTCTTATAGTGTGCTCTACTGCGTGAAAGGTGTGACTGCCACTGAGAAAGGAAGGTGGAGATGATGTGTTGGTCACCCTTTCTGTCCCTGTGACGATACCCAAGGAGAACAATTTTAAAAGAAGGAAAGATTTTGTTTTGGTTCATGGCTTTGGGGCACAGCTGGACCTGTTGCTTTGGGGCTGCGGTCAGGCAGAACCTCCTGGTAGAGCTTGTGGCGGAGGCTGCTCACTTCCCTGTAGCCAGGAAGCAGAATAAAAGAAACCGGAAGGGAGCAGGGACAAAATATGCTTCAAAATTACCCCCTTCTGATGACTCATTTCCTCCTCTCAACTCCTAGTTTCCCCCACCTCCTAAAATAGTGCCATCAGCTGGGGATCAAGTCTGCACCAGCACC